TAGATATATTTTGGCACTGGCTTGTAATATTAAAAGGGAACAAGGGGCAGGTGGCTTGTCCCTCTCCCAGGCTGCAGCCTGGCTGGTCCCCATTCCTCTCTCATGAGCTCATTTGTGCCTGGTTGGTCCCCATTCCTCTCTCCCCAGTGTTGAGTGTCTGAGCCATTATGGCATGATGGTGTGAGGGTGTGACAACCATTTGCATATTAGCTCTTTATCATATAGGATTTGACTCTCCCTACTAAGTGCTACATGCTATGAAAGCAGAGATTGCTTGTGATTCATGTACTATGATGTTCTCAGTACCTGCCACATACTAAGAACTCAGTTAAAATATGTTGCATGAAATAATAATATGTACTTTAGGTACATGATTGGTTTTTAAGGCAAATATCAAAAATATATGGGAGGAAAAACTTGCCTTTACAAATAGCACCTAATTTAAGAGAAACATTGTTTTATATGCATACTTTCTAGAGGGATTATTGAATAACCAGTTTCATTTCTTTCCAGACAAGCTTTGTATTTTTGATGAGAACAAAATTGCTGTGAGGATGCTGCAAAAAGTGCGAGTGAGTGCCTGCAACTGCTGGAAACTGCCTTTTGAAAAAGTAATCACCACAGCAAATGAGTTTTCTTATAATGTGCATTTCTGATGTGTGTGTATGCATGATACATTTCAAATTCCATAAAAGATAAGAAAAATGCAGTCTGTCAAAAATTACTACTGCATTTTAATTAGATTTTTCATGCTATAAGCTAAGGAATATTTGTAGAAGTTATTTCTTAAAATGAGGCAAAGAGTAACAAAAATTGTGGCAAAAGCTTAGACTTGGCAATTGAACTATAGTTAGGTATTCATCGAAAATAAAAAAAAAAATTGAATGTTTAAGTGTAATTATTTTTAAAGTAGTCAAATTTTTATAAATGTTTCCAATGGTTTCAAAAACAGCACTATTTGCTTATTTCAAGCTGAACATTTTTGTAATATAAATGTATTAATTGCTAATTGTATATTAGAAATGTGTCAACTGGAAAAGAAAGGGTCAGAAGACTTCATGCTCTCTAAACTATCACTAAGTTTTCTAATGTATTTCAAAAATCTAGAAGTATATATATCTTACTCTATCTCAGGTAGTGTGTCAAGACTCAATATTGTTAAAATATCAATTTTCCTAGAACCGAACTATAGAGTTAAGGCAATATCAATCAAAATTATAGCAAGTATTTTTTTTCTTTTTTTAAAATATATTTTATTGATTTTTTACAGAGAGAGGAAGGGAGAGGATAGAGAGTTAGAAACATCGATGAGAGAGAAATATCAATCAGCTGCCTCCTACACATCCCCTACTGGGGATGTGCCCACAACCAAGGTACATGCCCTTGACCGGAATTGAAACTGGGACCTTTTGAGTCCGCAGGCCGATGCTCTATCCACTGAGCCAATCCGGTTAGGGTTGGTAGGCACCATAATTAAAATACCCCCAAATGCACAGGCTCCTTTTTTTTAGAGCCTGTTCCCTTATTACTATCCTATCTAATAAAAGAGAAACATGGTAATTGGCGTATGACCGCTACCCTTCCCATTGACTAATCAGCGAGATATGCAAATTAACTGCCAGCCAAGATGGTGGCTGGCAGCCAGGCAGCTGGAAGTGAACATGAGGCTTGCTTGCTTCAGTGACGGAGGACTCCAATGATCCCTGCTTGCCGCTGCAGACCTCTGAGAGGCAACTCTAAACAACTATGTAATAATATAGAAGCTAAACAAAACCCCAGAAACCTGTTTTAGTCCCGGGATTCAGCCACCAGGATCTCAACATTGAAAGCAAAAGCCAGAAACCTACTTTCAGCAGTGGAGGCCTAAGAGCTAGAGCCAAGCCTCAAAGCTAAAGCTGGCCCAGAATAAAAAAAAGAAAGAAAGAAAGAAAAAAAGGAGCGGTTGGGAGCTTCAGTCACCCCCAGCCTGAAAACAGCCCTCAGCCCCTCACCCAGACTGGCCAGGCATC